CGGTAAAATACCGGCAGCTGTGGTTGCCAGAACTTCACCGTAAAAAATATGGTAGGAACATTTTAGGTTTAACAGACTTAATTACAACTGATAAGAAAAACTTCAACTATGAAGTGTCATGCAGGGAATTCTGGGAGTGTCAATTTACAGGTTTTCGCCATAAATTATACAATGACTTTTTCTTTTTAACTTCCAAAAACCGTATTTTTAACAGTATGTTACTGTAAAATCACATTAAATGTAATTACATTTATTCACCGAATATAGTATGGAAACGTACTGTTAACCAGTCTAGCATTTTTACAGTCTTTTACTGTTAAAATCACAATAATTTTTTACAGTGTATCTAAAGTCTTCAACGTAAAGCAGCAGATCATCTACATCCTCTTTCCTTACTTTGAAACTGCAACGTGCGTTGAGAATGAACAAAATTTATCGTTCGCAGATATGAACGTAAATATAGTTATCGTAATAGTTATCATTATTATTCTTGGTGTGAATGGGCTGATTACCTGCTCCCCTTCCTCAAAATACTTCTTCGGGCATCACTGATAAAACACGTTGCATGTTTTCACATAACTGTGATTTCAGTTAACCTTGGGTTACCACTGTACTTCTATTTCCAAAAATGTGTTCATAGCAATCTGTGTTTTTGATCACTCTCTGTTGGTCTTAAATTTCTCTGTTTTCTGATATGTGAGTTTCATTTAATGAGTTAGTTTATGTTTATGGCATAGCGGCATGGACAACTGGTTGAATCTGAGAGTAGTGTGTTAGATAAAGCATGTTTATTTTCTCCCAATTTACTATGATAAAACAGGGCACGTTCCTGTCAGTCTGTCCACTTTTCACTCCTACACTGCTTTGCTTCATTTTTCGTAAAGGATTCAGAAGCCATGCAGTGATGAGATTTTGTAGATGCTAAACTTTCAAAAACTATAGCCTACACAGAAATAAAAAATAAAATCATTCAGCAAACGAAGAAAAGTTTTTAAACAAATGTGTCATGAAAACTTGCTGGAGTAAAAGCTTTTAACTTCCCCTATATCGGGTGGCTTTTCTGAGGTTGGGGTGACACTTCTGAACGGCATTTATCGAGTGACAGAACTGCAACACCCAAACGTTCAGTTATCTGTTTCTTCACGTTGTGCTGATGAGGCATAAACAAACACATGCCGTAGATCTCCTCAAGCCCAGCTGTACTGCAAGACAAAAGCCAATTCCAAAACAAATTAAAGGAGATTGCTATGGTGTAAAAAGGAAAGACATCATCATCTTTGTGAACAATAGTACCAAATCTATTAGATAGTCCTCAAGCCTCTATTTGACAGTCCTATGGAATAGTTTGTCTTATTGCATGATTTTTTAAATGTCTGTAACTGTTGGGAATGATAAAATCAAGATTAAAAGATAAATGTGAATGAAGTGTTTCAATTGAAAATGTGTCGCAATATATGTGCCAGCCCTTCCAAGGACACCATGCACATCCAGTTTCAATTATAGGCCTATTAAATACCTGTTAGACACTTTATTTTAGAATAGATTAGTTATGGAATCAGATAAAGATGGATTCATTAATACGGATGATTACATCCACCAGCTTTATTCTGCACCGCTATTCCTGTAACAGACAACCGAAAGTGTAATCTCAGTGGGGCTTTTTTTAAATAATACAATAAAAATGCATTTCAAAAATTAAAAAATTTTTGAGAGTTCTGACTTGTGTTTGTCCTTTTCCTTTTTGTCCTTTTTTTTTTTTTTTTGCTTTGCAGGAGCTGAGTAAAGATGGATTACATGCAGAGCCACCAGGCAAAGTCCTCTCTTGCCAGATATAAATTGACTGGGTATTAGAGCTGCACATCTGTGTAATACTGCGTTGATGGTTTATGTCAGATTAAATGTATATTATTCTGAAAATTTAGATGATTAAAGCTCTGTCTCTGTTCTCTCTAAAGTGAAGAAGAAAGGTAATGAATTCATCATAGTTGCTTGTAACTTCACTCGACCCTGAGCTGAGAAGTGACATTAAAGTACCGAGAAATTACACCTTTTTATGTCACTTTATTTAAGGACCAATTCTCACTATTAACTATATTAGCATGCATATTACTAGCATATTGGCTGTTTGTTAGTACTTACAAAGCACATATTAATGCACGACCATATTCTAGAAATATACAAATAAAATGAGTATGTACATTGACTTGTTTACATCAAAACACCTTTGTAATGTCACCGTGGTACAAAGGGTAACCATAATTTAATGCTTTAGACTTAAAAGACTGACATCTGCTGGACATTTTGTCAAAATCCACAATTCAGGAACATGTATTGGGAATATGTTGTGAAGTTCACACACACCTTACTCAGTTTATTGATGGTGGAGTTTGGCAAAATACTACAACAACAGCTGGAAAGTGGGAAAATACCAGTTTTGAGTAGGTTATTGGTGATTATAATTATTATTATGTTTACACATCATATCACTGTGAATTATGCCTCAAACGTTCGTTTTAAGAGGCCTATTGTTGAATGTTACACAAAGTGAAGGTAAGAGTGACATTTGATCATGGTTTGGTCGATACCTTCAAAATGGCACCTGGGTGACGTCACACATAATAAACATACGTGATTGACAAAGACCGATAAAAGGGCAGTCAAAAGTGAAGCCCAAGAAACAAGAAATATAAAAAAATAGAAAGACAAAATACTGATTATAGTAGTGATTATAATTCTGATACCTATATTCATGTAGCTTCCTTTAAAATATAGTTACCATAGTAACATTCTAAGATGCCTTAAAGGAACACTCCACTATTTTTGAAAATATGCTCATTTTCCAACTCCCCTAGAGTTAAACAGTTGAGTTTTACCGTTTTC